CCTTCCTTCCTTCCTTCCTTCCTTCCTTCCTTCCTTCCTTCCTTCTTTCTTTCTTTCTTTCTTTCTTTCTTTCTTTCTTTCTTTCTTTCTTTCTTTCTTTCTGTTTTGGGCTATACAGGAGAATGACTTCGATCGCCTGGCCTTACAGTACACTCCCTGCGCTTGATCCCTCAAATCTACAACATCTTGAAAAGTTGGATTCAGCCCAAGGATCTCGCAGGAATCCCCTCCTCTGCCCTAGGAGAAACTGGACATTTCCCTGAGTCGCCCACAAGGCAGCGAAGCAATCCAGGTTTTCCCCGATGCTGTTTCTCCAGTGTCTTTGGGCTCCTGTTTTAAAGCAAAGATCAGGTGGAATAGAGACTTGGAAACGGCAAACCTTTCAACATTCCCAATAAATCCTCCATTTGCTTGTGAGACAGTTTCCAAGTTAAAAATATGAACTACTTTTTCTATCCAATGATTGAACCAGGGAGCCTGTTTCCCCTTCCAGGTGGCCCCCACAGCGGTTTCTTTTGCCTTCTTTTCACAGACAACGCTGCGAACGTTGAGCCTGGGGCCTCTTCAGAACATGCTTGATTCTCCCTGGGTATTTTAAGTTCTTTTTCTTTCATCTGTAACTGAAGCACAGAGCAGGTATCTTATAACGGTGAAAAAAGTGTGAATTTGCAGACATCTTAAAGACTTATTTATATCGCACCTTTATTATATTTTTAAATAACTCAAGGCAGCAAACGCTGCTTCTTCCTCCTCCTCCTGTTTTCCTCACAACAACCCTGAGAGGTGGGTTGGTCGGAGAGTGACTGGCCCAAAGTCATCCAGCCAGTTTTCATGCCCACGGTAGGACTAGAACTCACAGTCTCCTGGTGATTAGCCCAAAGTCATCCAGACAGCTTTTAGGTCTAAGGCGGGACTAGAACTCACAGTCTCTTGGTTTCTAGCCTGGTTTCTTAACCACTGGATCAAACTTACTGTCATTTTGCAAGATGAGAGAAGTTGTATTCAAAACTGTCCGCAAAGCTTGGGGTGTTTGTCTTCAATTTCCCCTTGCAGATGAGGTAATGGCATGTATAGAGTTAAAAAATTTAAGAGTGGCTGGGCTTCCATGATAAACCTGGTTAGCCTAACTATGAGAATTTTTTTTTCATGAATTATCGAACATCCTGCAGCACCAGCCTTCACAACATGATCTAAATTTCTGTTAACAGAGAGCCTCTATTAAATAAGTTTCTATAAATAAGTTCTATCAACAGAAATTTAGATGTTCCACCTTATATACAAATACTGCACTTTATCATGTCTTTATTAAAGCACAGAAGCTTCCTTTCACTCAGGGCTACTTGCGGGGAGGGGGCTGTGTAACATACACGACACATTGCACTAAACTGTGGTTGGCTACTTTACAATTTGGTATATTGTACAAACCTAGCTACCCACTGTCTGGCTTCACACATTCTACTAGTCCACAATATGGTTCATTTGGATTAATGGAGTAAGTGCATTCCACTTGTTTGGCTTGTACGCTCTGGTTTACAGCTTAATTTGTGATTTCAGCCAATTGGGGTTTACACAGTAAAATGATTCCACAAAAATAGTAGCTCATTTAAGTGGCAACTTCTTACCATCCTTGGCTCACCTCAAAAACCTAAACAGGGCCTGACTTGGCCAGTGCTTTAATGGAGAACCACTGAACTAGGAATGTGGGCAGATTGACAAGTTTAGAGAGTGTCACTGGGAAAGAATTTCTCTACTGTTGTCCATGAAGGCACCTGGAGTCAAGCTTGACTTGAAAGAGACTTCACAAACACTCAATTGGTTTAAAAAAAACAAAAAAAAATCCAAGCTGTGTAGTATTTCAAAGCCCAACTCACAGAGTGGTTGCTGTGGGGAAAATAGGAGGAGGAAGTTATGCTCATTTGCGTTATTTATAAACAATAATAAAGGTGGGAAGATGATAGGTAGGTGGCTATAGATTGGGGGTCCCCAAACTTGGCAACTTTAAGACTTGTGGACTTCAACTCCCAGAATTCTGGGAGTTGAAGTCCACAAGTCTTAAAGTTGCCTGGCTTAGATCCCTTCACAGGTTGTGGGCCATGTTTTGGTCTGCCACTCATGGAAATCTACAGTACTCCTCAATGTACAACAGTTTCTTTAGTGACAGGAAAAAGAAGCTGGCTGAGGAATTCTGGGAGTTGAAGTCCACAAGTCTTAAAGTTGCCAAGTTTGGAGATCTCTGCTATAGATAGATATAGAATAGATGATAGGAAGGTGGATGTAGGGGGAGAGAGAGAGAGAGAGAGAGAGGGGGGGGGGGATGGATGGATGGATGCTAGAGAATTTACTTAGTCCTAAGATGGAAGACCACCAGGAAATCTCAGAGCTATGAATTAGATTGGGAAATGGAGAAAAAAAAGCACAGTGAAGAAGGCCATGGCCAACCACTTCCCTTTTGCTGCCACGAAAATGCTGTGAAACCTCCATGAGAATATTCAGCCTCAGGTTCAGCTTGGACACTTCCCATCATGAGTCCAGCAGCAAATCAAAAAGAGAAGGGTCTTCATTTCTTGGCACAGAGGACATTTTTTCCTCCCCAAGCCCTCCGAGCGCTGGCCTTAGCAGAGGGCATGGGATTTTAAAAAAAGGGATGAGAGGAAAGAGCCTTGGTGTCCTTCACAGGTAGTCCTTGACTTACGATCAACAATGGAGCTCAAAATTTCTGTTGCTAAACGAGACAGTGAAATAAAAATGTCCCCAATTTACTGCCTTTCTTGTTAAGAGAATCACTTCGGTTATTAACTAACTACTAACATGGTTAAGTGAATCTGGCTTCTCCATTGACTTTGCTTTGGTCAGAAGGTCGCAAAAGGGGATCCCATGACCCCAAGATGCTGCAACCGTCATAAATATGAGACAGTTGCCCAGGGTCTGAATTTTTTTTTAATAACATTTTTATTTCAGTTTTCACAAAACATAAGAAAATAAAACGTCTTTTTTAGCGAACAGGTTTTCACATCTCCACATAGACATAGCTTTGGTGACATGTTTATCTTTCATAATCAATTTAATATCTTACCACTAGTTTGTATATTCTCTATTGTTTTTCTCAAACACTTCCCTCAGGCTTATTTTATAAATTTCCCATTTATTTCTTAACCTATTTTTTTTTCCGTTTAAAAAGTTCTCATATTTTGATATTAATTATACTTTTATCTGTCATGTTTACCTTTTCATCGCATATTCCCGTTTCATCGTTTCCCAAAAAAATCTACCTCATTTCAAATATTACAAAACATATATTTCCCCAATAATCGCCAATTAGAATGTGCCACTCCTATAGCTTACAATTAATTCCCTATCAAATCCCATTGAACATTCAACTTTTAATTATCCAAGAATCTGAATTCTGATCATCACGTTTCTGTAGAGATGCTTAACGGTCAGGTGAAAAATGGTCACGAGTCACTTTTTTCTGTGTTGTTCTACCTTGGAATGGTCACTCAGTGGTCACTCACTGTATAATTGATCCATGCATCTCCCCCGCCCCCACCCAACCAGGGCTAAGCCTGAAACTGGGTTTTCACAAGGCGCAAAACACACTGCTAAGCCAGAAAGCTTCAAGGAGACAGGCTGAGCGAGTTTTTCTCTCCGCCCGTCCCACCTTGCCTGCAAAGCCATAGCCGCCTCATTCTGCCAAGTGCAAATCGAGAAACGGGGCAGCAAGCCAGCCCCCAAACCCTCCCATATTGCCAAGCCAAACGTCCTTCTGTTGCATCATGGCTTTCTTCTCCCTGGTTGGCACTTATTTAAAAAGAGGTGGGTGGACGAAAGATGGCGTGGGAACGTAGTAGCCTGCCTCTCTCTCTTCCCCTGGCCTCTAGAGCAGGACGGGGGGGGGGGGGGAACGGACAGACAGGAGGAGGGGAACGCAAAGGGAGGGGGAGATTTAAAACTTCCCCCACGCTTTTATACCTGACTCACTTGCAGTATTTCTGAATGACCCATTGTCATGTTGGTTTGGGGGCGGGAGGGAGAGCCATGCTGTTCTGGGCTGAAATTGGCTGGTAGATCCAAGGGTAGGAATGAATGTTTCCTTTGTCTGCCAGGCCTCTGGTCCTTGGTTGACTGGCCTGCGAGGAATGAATGAAGTTTTAAAACCAAGGGAACAATGGGGACGCAGCCTGTCTTCTCTTCCTGCTGGGGTGACGGTGCAGGCGGCCAAAATTATGCCTTGTTGGGGAAGAAGCCTCAAGAAATAACCCAAGAACGGTTGCAGGAACTGGGCATGGCTAGTTTAGTGAAGGAAAGGACCGGGGGAGACATGATAGCAGACTTCCAATATTTGAGGGTCAAGCTATTTTCTAAAGCTCCTGTAGGCCAGACAAGGAATAATGGATGGAAACTGAACAAGGAGAGATTCAACCTGGAAACAAGGAGAAACTTTCTGACAGAACAATCAACCAGTGGAACAGAAGTTGGAAGTTGTGGGATCGCCATCACTTGAGACTTTTAAGAAGAGATTGGACTGCCATCTGTCAGAAATGGTGTAGGG